CGCTGTTGCGTAGCACGACGATTTAAACTGCACCCGTCCGCGCGAAGCTAGAACATCTTAAACTACGCGCGTTGTTCTGCTGTATTGCTTCGTCATTGACTTCCAAAACTAGCTCACTTTTACGCTCATGATATGACTTTTATCCATAACTTTGTTGTGATTGGATTTTTGTGCGGTATAAAGGTTGTTTTGGGAATCGCATAATATTAACGCTGTCGCCATTGTTTAAATAAATCCTTATGTCTACCTGTATAACCAGAGGCTGTATGATGAAGAGAAATTAACACATTAGCATAACTGATTTTTTAAATTTCTCGAACAAAGCTTTCGATCCAGCGGGTTGTTAGTATATATTATATATATTTTAATGATCTGGCACGGGCGCGCGCTACTTCGTAGCACTTGCATCGAGAAGAAAGCGTGCGCGCCGCTACTTCGATGAATTATTTAGACGAGTATCATCCGTCAAAAAAATTGACATCAGTCATTAGTCAAAGTAATTATATAATATAAAACACATTAGGTACTTTTAGTACGGCGTACCGCAAAATTCAAAATTAAAAGTTCCTGCAGGCCTGGTTAAATAAGCTTTTAGGTGGTGTATTATAGCGATTTAGAACGCAATATAATATGCAATTTAATCTATATATTAATTAAATGTAATTTTTAATTAAATTTATTTAGATGTGCTCAAAAATTTTTATTTTGTAATTTAATAATTTGTAATGTATGCGCGACCTTATATTTTATTTAATGCTATTTTCAACTAATCGTTAAATATCCAATAAAAACACTTAATATTATGATAAAAACAATAACTAATATCTTTTTTTCATTCGTAAAAGGCATATACCTAAATTGTTTTCAGATTATTAATATATATGTGATTAATTCATATGTTTATTATATCTTGATTTTTAATGAAAGTTGTAGTTACATACACGCGCCGAGCATGCTTCACGTACAGGTTTTACCATGGCATTCGTTGTCGTTTATGAGGAGGAGCTTAACAACCAGCACGCGATTGACCTGATGTTCTTAATGCAAACACTTCGATTACTGTTTAAGTGATACTTTACTATCGAAACTCTGTAACTGGGGTGAATGTTACATCTAGTGATTTTCGGTCTTGGTACAATCTTTTCAAATTAGTACTTCTTGTGAGTTGCTATGGTCTTTCAAGAGGATAGCCGTGCGAGCGAAACAGACGGAAGGCCATCCACCCATGGCCATGGCGGAATGGGTCAAAGACTAAAGTAAAAGTAAAGTCAAAGTAAAAATTTTTGACATAACATCTTCACTAAGGCTACATGTATCATCACATCTACATGGAAAAATACACTATTTCTCCATCAAAATTTAAAGGTAATATTTATAAAATATTAATCATGAATTAAAAAACATTGACAATAAATTTAATTTATTCATTCTTCCCAGTGGAGTAACGATATTTATCAAACGTTTCTTTGTACATAAGGATGGAACACAGATAATCAATTGTGTTTTTTCCTTATTTAATGATTTAACTGGTACCCTTCATCTTCTTGTTAAAATAACTTCGTTCGAAACATTCCAAAAATGGGAAAGTCATTTACAAATTTAGGAATCATATTCTTTTAATACTTTCAATCAATTTTAAAAACCTCAAAACTGTCAAGCAGTTCTTCACCTCCGAGGGAGTTTGTTCCAATAAGGAACAACCGCTCTGGTAAGAAAAGAACACTGTGATTTTGACTTTGTCACCACTCTTACTACATCTATTGGATGAAACCTGATTAAGACGCTGATCTGCTTGGTCTGAACATGTCTGAACCATATCAGTCATGCCCTTAATATCCTTAAAAGCTTCAATAAGGTCCCCACGTATTCGACCGCTCTGCCGCGTTGTCTAATTAAGGATTTCCAGGTCTACGGCTGTGAAGGAAGAGTTACCCCCCTCAATCATCAGAGGGTAATCCGCCCTCTGGACGCTCTCCAGCTCCAAAAACAGTCCCCCAACTTCCATGAGCGCCTATGGATTCCACATTTGGACACAATTCTCTAGATGAGGTCTTATCATAGCTTTATAGATGGGGGGGGCTATCATTACAACATTTTTCTCTAAATTATCAAATTCCTTACAATTCTCAGCAAATCATTCGATTTGCCGGAAATACATGCTTTTATCTGTTCATTCCAAAGCAGGGAAACTTTTGGGTGTCAATAACCCCCAATTTCTTTTTCATGAGCAGATACTTCAAGTTCGACGCCATTTATCTATATAATTCTAAGTTAGGGTTGATATTATGTTTTTAATATGAACAACTTTACATTTAGCTGGAGATACTTCAAAGCCATATTTACTTCACCCAGGGACTTCCAGATTTACAATTTCTTCAGCTACCATGCTCGTGGTATGCTGATTAACCAATCAAATTGAGGTCATCTGCAAATAATTTAATTCTTATTCTTGGACGATATCTAGGTAAATCATCCCATTTAATATTAATGATAAATTCAAAGGACCAATACTGACCCTGGGAAACACCTGATAAATCACGTGTTTCACCTCAGAACCATGGTCTTCTACACAAACCCTCATGGTTCTGTCTGTAATGAAAATCTTTGAATTACCTCCTAAACTTTTCCTTTGACCCCATAACCCCTCCATTTAGTAAATAGTCTAAGTGGCGGGACAGTGTCAAAGGACTTACTATAAAATCAAAATACAGTAGAATCATGAGTCGAAAGTGCCAGCGATTATTCTGTTGTTTTATTGGTTTTAATCAACAAAGCTTTACCACGTCGCAGTCCGGAAACCCGATTCCCGTGTGTGGGATTTCTCAGTAATCCTCTCAAATACCATATCTCTGTTGCTGTTTCAACTGCTCCGGCACCCCCTTTCAACCTGAGCAAACTAATACTGCTATCCGAGCCTTGGTGGCATATCTCAGTAACGGGAGAAACGAGGAAACGAACATCCGGCTACATCCGGAAATTTATCATATCCCGACTTGTCTGCTAAAAATCCGAAATCCAGACGTGCTGTACTGAAGTTAAACTCGCTATTATCGAAGCAATATCAGAAATGTGTGCATACTGTAGTGAAAGACAAACCAAGATTTATGTAAACGAATTCGGATCCTGCTTTACCTCATAGATGGTCCTACAGCTCACATCAAAACTAAAGAGTTGCTGCATGACGGCAGTGGTCGCGGCCCATGCTTGTATTATACTGCCATGGCCGATCACGTGGCCTAACATATAACAGTACACTTTGAACTATAACTTCTAGATCAATCTCAAGAACTTGACCCTTTACATGCACCCGATGAAACGATGCTGGGCGGTTTACTGTGCTGAAATGCTTCTTGAGATGCTGAGGAAGTTTATTATCGACTTTACGTGATTCCATATAGTTCATTATTGGGAAATAAAACAGATTGTATTTCACCCTAACTATTAAAATATAAACGATACAATAGATATTTAAACATAATTGCATTTCTCAAAATCAGGTAGTATATGTTCAATTATTTATATCAATTTTCTAATTTCATATCACATATATACACCCAAATCGGTCTCAATTGTCAATCATTAGCATTCACAAGTAATTACAGCTACATACCATGTCTACGGTTGTAACATTTCAACATGTCGCACAATTCACTCAAAAATCACTTGTATCTTTTGTTCATATAGCCTCTGTGCAATCTAAGTTTTTTACTGGGACTATTTCTATCTAAGGATGGCGCTCCCGTTTCTTCCCGGGACGTATCCACCAACTCCAAACGTTAAGTACATGATTACTGGGAATTTGAAAGAGTTTTTAAATCATTCAAAAATCATAGATCCATCAAAAGTGTGCTCTATCGTTCTTTCTTAAACCATAATTTCTTTTCTGCTTGGATGTGGGATAACTTCCTAGAAGCCTTCATTGCATTCGTTATGCGAAACGAGAAAGTCCCGTAGTTGGCGGGGAGTAAAGGCACGGTTTTGGCGGTGAGCAACATGTATCATGTTTATTCGTTAATCCATGGTTATAATCGTTATTGGAGCAGATATTTGTGCATCTGGTTATATTTACTCAAAACACTGCACAAAATTCATACTACTTCATCTTGTTATTATTATGCAAAAGTAACCGACTGTTGCACTATTTTGATAGGGGCTGAATCGTGACTATGTCACACGCGTGCTATCCGATACTGAACAGATATGCAGCTTTTGCCTGCTGACTTTCGTCCCTGGGGCCAGTACGCTGTAACTATCAACCTGGACCCCTCAGCTCACCGAGAGGAGCCCATACTGGCACCGGTCTTAGCCGTGGACACCAGCCGCAACTTAGCCAGGCGCAGCAGAACTCCCTCTATCTCAGACAAATTCAGCGTTATCGCATCCCATGTAAGCGGATCTACAGGCTCACGCCACTGGGCCCCGCTAATTTGTAGGGGTAAATATGATGATGTTTAAAGTGCCTGAATTTAGAGTGATTTTCCTGATTGGAATAATAGCGGAGACTGCTGTGTTGCCCAACTTTCTCTGCGCAGTGGCTGACTAATTTATATATCTTGCCTTGTGCATGTGCACCACGTTAATACGTTAGTTTTTATATAGTTCTGTCTTCTGACCACTTGCTTCTGCTTGACACTTTTCTTTGCTTGTCTCACGGCTTGTCATGGTCATTGCATCGCAATTTCACAGTTGAAGCCTGACGGCCAATGGGGAGTTGTCAAAACGTTAATGTTGTATGCATAGTTACTCGAAATGCAGGCCCTGATAGCTGAGCCATCTTAAACAGCTAATCACAGGCTGTAACATTGAGCTCTCATTGGTTGTTATATTATTGTCACAGATTCAACAGACACGGTCTCCCTAAGAGAATGGTCCTTCCGGAGACTTCTTGGCTTCGTTTCTTTCGTACATGTTTTGAAGTGATGGACCCTGTATAGTATGTAGGTAAATTACATCTTAGTCCCGTTTGTGGAATCACTCCTCTAAACTGAATACATCTCCAGGTAAAGCTCTTCCGGGACAGAAGATCCTCCCAAGTCCTAAGATAGTCCCCAACGGAAAAGCCGGGACAGCCAGCCCCCTCCTGGTGGTACATCGACCGGCAGGTTCTTCGTTTCCGTGGCTTTTCTTCCAGGATGGCAGGGTCACGAGAATGAGGGAGGAGAAGACAGTTCAGAAAATGTGATGTTTTTGTGTAATCGTTAAATTTTGTGTTTTCGTGTTTCTCTTGGGTAGTAGGTGATAGAATAATGACGAAACTCTTTACTTAATTATTCGGCACAATTTATTATTCAAAAAAAGTAAATTTGGTTTATCTAGTATTATGTACAGCCACTTAAAATCAAACACCTCAAATAGTTGACCACGATACTCTACTACCTGGAAGACGACAGTAATCCAAGGTCAACGAAGCCAGTCAGGAAACAGCGGTATTCTAAGGAAACGGCTGATACGACGACCACCGCCATCTCCAGCCACCAACCAAACTCGTCGATCTGTTCACACAGTGGAGGCGTTTAATGTTGGCCAACGCGGCTTACTCTTTAACGGCAGATACTTCAAACATCAGGTACTTTAGTCTGAAACTGGTGTTGTTGATACATGCTGGATAGGCCACATTTTTGTGGGCTCTAAATTGATCAATATTTGTTTGAAATATCAATCTGTTCTTTGGTTATAGTTCTTTCTTCGGTTCTTAGTTCATACACTGTATATATTAACACAATTCATCACCACAGGACTGTGTCGAGTTCACCCAGTAACATTCCTAACTAAAACAGGAGCTAAAGTAACGTGGCTATGTCCTCTTAACTGTGATCCTTTTTACTTTGGACACAGGAAGAACCAAGCTGCCACCATGCAGCTCATAGACTTACGAGAAGTGTGA